TAATTTTAATTATTAAATTATTACATGTTAAATTATTGTTATAATTTTAAAATATACTTCAATGCTGGAAAATGAGACACAAGTGAATTATATGTATAGAATAACTTGCATATAATTAAGTGAAGCTTTTCTTTCTGATCTGCTACTTCAGGTTTCATATGAAGAGCAGACAAAACATAAAACAATCATAGAAATAGGAAAAATATCTATATATTGGGAAGTACATTCATTATTGTCACTATTCAAAACTATCTTTAATAATCAATAACCCCATAAAATAAAAAAATCCATTTTCTACTAATTTTTGCAGTTATTAATTTTGATCACAACTAATTGTTCTAGATAAAATATTAACTTTTCAAGAATATTTGAGTTAATATAAAACATTCAGTTAAAAGCACTTATTATTTAGAGAGCAAAACAAGTTCAATTTAATTTTATATTTGACAATTGAGTTCAGTCTTGCTTTCTTAATGTTTAATAAATTAATAGTGTTTTTAAATGTTGACATACCAGCCCAGGTTTGTATGCAGAAGCCCACTGCTCAGGAGTGTCATAATATAATAGTAAATACTGGGTTGCATATTTCTGTGGACAAAATTTTTAATAGGTCAAAGGTTACTTTATTAACGTAATAGATTTGGGTAAACAGTTAACTTGTGTACAAAAATAGAAATTTTTAAAAATATTATTTTTCATACCTTTTCATCATATTCTATTGTGTATGCTAATTTCCCAATATTGGGCAGGAAACAGAATCTTGCTATAAATGCCCAGTTCTTAAAAAATGAAGAAACAATGTTGATATTGAGTAATTAATATTCACTTAAAACAGCACAAAACAGGAAAATAAGGAATATACCTCTTTGGAATATAATTCTCCTTCCAATATTACACTCTCTTTCAAAGGGAGAAATAATGTTATAACTACTGTAAACCAAACATTAATTATATTTTTAAACATTCTCAGTGCAAATTCCACATGCAACTACATGCCTAACTACTGTGTGGCCCAACAGAAAATAATCAATACGTTGCCATGCCAACCTTTCCTCAAGCTCAATTCAAGGTCATAGTCCTCTACAAAAACAACATTCCTAATTCTACATTAAATTAAAACTAAGATTTCAGAAATTATCAAAAAATATTTCATGTCATTTGTAATATACAAATCAAATACACCTACACATGGAAGCAATTGCTAAGAAATACTAGATCCACAGAATTATGAAAATGCTAATAAATACACTAAATAAAAGTTATGCATTCATTCATAAAATTCTCACGATGGAATTTTATAATCAAGAAACAGCCTTTTAGGTTTTGAACTGTCATATTTGAAATTTAAAAACCTTAATTTTATTCCACAAGCATAACTTAATTTTTTATCATTTTCCCCTAAATTCTACTCAAGTACAAAATTGAGAAACATTCAAGAATATATACACATTTGCACATTACCAAAACCCTAAACTACTTCCACTAATATAACTCACCAGTTAAAACCAATTTCCACAGCCAGCATTCTGCGAAGAATAAAATCTAGTGGTAAAACATTCCACAGTAGTAACTAATAAAAAATATCAATTTTGTGATGCTGTTCGTTACATTTTTGCATGTTAACATAAATATCAAAAACACTAATTCAGAAAAAACACTAGTTTCAGATGTTCATTTACCAAATATTTCTGTAATACATTAATATTTTAGACTTTAACAATCAAAACAAAAATGAAAATACATTGTAACATCACTTTCACCTTCAATAATGAAGGAATTACAATCATTAAATATAATGAAGTCCTTCTCCTTTTGAAAAACTAATTATCTGAAATGTCTATTACACTGCTGAATGGGTTTAGTTAGGAAAGTTACTGCTTTCACCAATGTTGCTATCTATAATTTGGTTTCAAAACTCTGAGGGGAGGGGAAACAAATTAAAAAAAAAAAAAGAGGCTTTTGAGTCTTAAATTTCATGAAAATGCTTCACTTAAAATTATCATTTATTGTTCAGAAGACCTGAGAAAAAACAATTCTTATGTGAAAATAAACATGAAGGAAAGATGCAAATGATATCAATAATCAATAAAACCAAATTCAGTAAGTCATCATGAAAATTCAGAAAAAATAGTTTCCTTCAAGTCAACAAATTGACATGAAATTACTTGACAGATAATGATGTTCAACAATCAAATTCAAAATAAAGTACTGTAACTTCTATTAAATAAAAATGTGTAGCATGAAGCAAGTAATAAAATGACAAAATGGTGAGCTTCAACATTACAGAGGAATAATGATTTTGTTAAAAATAGGATCAGGTGTTCACATGTAAGTCCCTCTAAGTAGGTTGTAAGGATTTTCATAAAAACAAAACAGTAATTTTTAAAGGATTTTAATATCTACTCATATACACATTCAAGAATAATGCTATGTAGAAAAATAACTATTAGTTTCATACAAGTTCCCATCACTTAATATTTAAACATTTTGATTTTAGGCATCTTCGCAAAGCGAATACTAATATTATAACATGCACAGTGAAATGTTATCTTCATTATAAATAATGTAAGATGTGAACCTAACTGTACTGCAAATCAGAAGGGAAGGAACCTGTTTTTCTCACTTGAATCTCTTGGTCGGGAAGAACACTGTAGTGATGGGTTCACTTTCGTAATAGCAACTTTTACATTTTGTATAGCAGCCATTCAACATCCCTTGGCATTTTCCCAAAACATTAATTACAATTTATTATTCTTAAAGTAAAGAACTGTCTGGATTTTCGAAATTCCTTTTAACTTCTTTTTAATAACAAAAAAAATCATGCAGAAGGTAATATCTAAAGCTAACACTGCATTAACTAGAACATTCTTTATACATTTGTGCTTTTGGAAAGCCACGCAACTAATTCTAAACTACGTAAGTTATAACTTACAAATCTTAAATATAGTTTTTGGTACCAAATTGTATAGTAAAACATTCAGCAATATTATTTTTCAAAAACATTTTAAATAATCATTGATCATCCAGCTACAACAATCTCAATAATATAGATCCTATACACACAATATAATACAAAATGTTTTATTTCTATAAAGTAATAGTAATGGCTCCACAGTAATGTAATGCTAACTTAATAGAACTATTTCCTATAATGGGATGTATACAATGGTGCTCATTTACAACAAAATTATATTACATAAAAAAAAAAAAAACAACACTTTCTTAAGATTCTAAAATATTCATTGTTGTAAAAGATTACTGTTCTTAAGAGAAAACTTTCATTTCTACAGAGCATCACTCTCTTCTTATCAAAATCCACACCAATCCCCAAAAGTCACAACCATCAATTATAACAAAGTTATACCAGACATTTTTATGAAGAGACTGAATTTTTAAAGATTACCTCAGACACTAGCTCTTCATCTCTTTATGCTGATCTTGCACAATCATACAACTCCACAGAATTACACTTCATCATTTGTTCTCTACCAGGAAATAATTCCTTGCCAATGAAACATATTTGTAGTCTTCCCGAGGATCGAAACCAAAGTCTTACAAACTTTTGCATTTGTTTTTACTAGATGATGGTAGCATAGAAAAAACAATTTTACATCTTTGAAAATAGATAGTCAAATTGCATAACCCTTTTAACACAAGTGTTGCATTTCTAAACTTTCTTTAAATCAATGGTTTAATCTTATGATAATTTATGAGTATTTTAAACTGATCATATTTCTAATAATATGCAGTAATTAGACAAGTTTTCTGCTTTTTCACATCTATTGCATTATAAATAATTGTTTTCCTTCTTTCTTTTTCACTGTATAATCATTATTTCCAAAATACAAATTCCTTTACCAAATAAGGCACAAATAATATCTCAAATACTAAAACATTTATATAATGCCCACAGACAAAGAAATTCATTTGAAAATAGTGTACATGATTCAATGTATTTGATAGTAAAGATTATTTGGATTTAAAAGTTTTAGGAACAAGTGAACAAATAATTCAGACCCTCAGAAAGGCTACAATTACCAAATTTGTCACTAAAAGCACATCAAACATTTGCCTTCATGGGCTATATAAAACAAAACAAAAAATATAACATACAAAAATTCAATTGTCACCTCAGTATATGAAAAATGTAACAATATTTTAAACAAAGCATTGACTGAAAAACATGTTTTTGATTTTCCAAAAATATTTTTGCAAAACGTTCTATGAATGAAACAAAGCACATGGGCAAGGGTGGTAAATTTACATAAAAATAATGTAACAGTTACAACAAATATCCACATTCAACATTTTTCTGCTAACATTTTCTGCTATAGGAATAACAAACTTTTCAATGAATGGGTATGTGAATGTTGTGTAGTATATATACACAGAATGTACATCATATGGATACCGTCATATCAAATTCATCAATAATAACTGTACTCTATACATCACAGTTCTTTCCACTTGTTCTTTTATACACATTTCACAACTGTCCTGACATAAATAAATGAGCATTAGTATGTCAGCAGCTTTGGTTAAAACAATGCACCGGAGTGCACTATACAAAACAAACTGATATTATCTAGGGAACTGAAATAAAATATATTACTTTCTCAAACAAACCACAAGCAACACACATCATTTTGGGTATAATTTATAAAATAAATAATCACAATTTCACAAAAAAAATTATACCTCAAACCAGGACAAAATAGTTCTTTGCAGGGAGAAAGTGTTATACCACTTTCTACATCACACAGAAAAATAGTGAGGAAAAAATGATGAAAAATTTGTAGAACATTTAAGGTATCAAACTTTCCAGCCAAGATGATCCCTGGTTTTCTAGGCATTTCCTGTATTCACTGTCAGTAAGTACTTTAAAAATATGTGTCACTAATCTGCAGATTCAGTCTGGTTTTTTGTTAGGAGTAATTCTTATTCTGAAAGGGCAGGCAAAGTGCCGGCTGGAGGAAATTCATCAGAGAAGCGAACCAATATTATAAATGTGAACTATGTCCAGAAAGTTCATAAAACAACACGTATGCTTCACTGGATACAATTGATCGTGGAGAAATACTGGATACTCTGCAAAGAGAGAGAGAGAGAGGGAGAAATCAGGTAAAAATCAAACTACACATTATATGAACATGTAAGCTTCCGCGGCTCAAATCCATAAATTTTCGGCTATCTGGGAGATGCCGCGTCGTTGGCTGGCGGACCGACATGTCAGGCGAAATGTCGGCCTCCAAGCCAGCAATGCGGCGTCACCCGGATAGCCGAGAATTCATATGAACAAATCAAATTTAAGAACATAAGAAATTTATTTGAAAATTATTGAACTATTTTCAATGTGATCTGAATTTAACATGAGTTGCTGAGTGTACATGAGTAACATAACCATAATCTTAACTTTTTCACAGATTTTTTCTGCTTTTATTAATGATCAATAAAGATAGTAATTAGTATATAATACAATTGTTCAAAATACATGCAGGTGAAAGAAAATTGCCTTTGAACCCACAAGATGGGACTTCTGTTTCCATTCCTTTGAGCAAGAAGAAATTTTGAAATCACATTTGTTTTGAAATTATCCATGAAATATTATACTGACAATGCAAAGAGTCAGAGGCTTACTGCTTTATGATAGAATATCCACATAAACCTGCTGACATTTTGTTACCACTTGGCAGTAGCAGCTGGTGGGTTGCGAATTATGTGGAGGGGTAGCACGAATGTCAGAAGTATCACGTATTTTAACTCTTCAAAATATTTCTTGAACAACAAAAACTATAGCATTTAGTGTACAATTAATTTACATGGATTTTAATTCCTTGTCTAAGACAACTTGTTGATAACAGAAGATACAATTGTGCTCACGTGAAAATAAGGGATTTTTTAAAAACAAATTTCCAGCAAACGAAACAGTAAATTTATGAAATCAGATGAAAGAGTAGGTATTCTTAGCTTAGTTAATAGGTGTGGACTCTGCCAAACAAAACCCTAATAGCAGCACACTGCCCCCTTCCAACACCCAGCAAGCCAACTCTTCCTCGAGCTTTCAGTGCCTCGCTTACACCAGCTATGGACGGACTAGCAACAGTCCACAAAGCAATCCATTCCAAAAACCTTAATCTTTTGCTTAAGCTGGCACATAAAACTAAATTCATGCTCAAAAATTGTGCTGATGGTAAGCACAAATTGAAAGAGATGATTTATTATTATAATATTTCCTACATCGTTTTGCAAGGTTGATGTCTCTGTTGAGGGTGCTGCCCTTGAGCCCATAAGGAACAGCTGCCACTGCCACATGGTAATGTACATAAGGAACAAAACTTTTGATGGCAAAGTCAAGACAATGCCAATGAAATGAAACAGAGAGCATTACATAGTCAAAGGCAAGTGTCATCTTCACAATTTGCCCAGTCACCACTTTGGTTCCAGAAGTTTTTAGTTCTTAGTGCCGAGCTGATGGCTCCATGATATGAATTTAACATGTGCAATTTACACAAGCATAACTTGACCATTATGATTACTTTTTCACAGATTTATTAAAATTATCAAATATATAAAATACTCTTACTTTTCAGAAAACTATGTTTTCTTATCCTTTAGATCAATTTGTCTAGGACCCTTCTATTCCCAATGAACAAGTTTTCCCACTTCTACACTTTCAAAATTAAACAAATTGAAAAATTGCCATTATTTACACTTGGTTATCCAACTCCATGTAAGATAGAAGGATAATGTGTATGGTGGCAGATCTAGTATATTAATTCCCAATAATCACTGAAAATACTTCAGTTTGTCATCAGATGAAGTCAGAATTATTCCATATTGTCCTGATGTCCTACGCTATTTTATTGCTTCTAATTTCTAAACTAACTCTAATTTAGGGTAAATTACAATTGTGTTGCAGGTTGCCTACATTTTTGGAAACTGCTTTAATCAGTATCACCAGTGATGCACTACCAGACAAACCTTCACCTTCCTTCTAATTTCACTACTATACCAATGAAAACATCATGAAATAGAAATGTTCAAAAAGTCAGCAAGTGTACAACTCTGAAACAGTGCGCCCTAGGTTCTTAAAACCAGATTTTTGGGCCACGTTGGTTTAACCAGTTATATTTCTTAGGCCATTAGAAGCCAAATTAGACTTTGTGTGACCTTTTATACATTTTTGAAGGTTTAACTCGCATGGCTATCCTCAAGTTGCAGCATATGGGGTTAGGAACCAGCAGAATCTCAACATTTTGGTGCAATGAAATTGACTATTTGATATGCTGCGAAATGTAATCACACGAGTCTAAGTTTTATGTTAGTTAATTAACATTAATTGTTAGAATTATAACTCTTGTAATGTGTACATGATGCAACTAACGGCTCTGGGCTTTGCTGTTTAAATTTGGGTAACATTAATGTGGCAATCTTTACTTTTAAATATAGGTATTGTGGTGTGATATCTTTGGCATTTTTCATAAAATAATTAAAGCGTTGTCATTGCCACAATATTAGTTTAATGTAAGAGCAGCTTTCGATGGCTTAGGACCATCAATCATAGTTTGTCTGCTGGATGGAAGCCACAGGTAAGGTAGTGCGTTTTTGTGGCTTCCATCCGCAGACAATGATGATGATGGCTAACCATCGAAAGCTGCTCTTACATTAAATAATATTGTTGGCAATGACAACGTCTTTAATTATTTTACTTTTAAAACCATAACGTGCTAAGTGTAGAATGTTTGCATAGGTCCAGCTAGTGTTATTAATGTTTTGAACATGGCTTGACATAATTTTATATTAACACTTACCTAGAATCATTGTACTCATGCCACTCCCCTGTATAAGGATGACGACAGTAGGCTGTATAGTGGCCAGAATAAGTAGTTCCCGAGTGGTTTGATATTGCATACAAGTTGTACATGCATCCTTGCCCTCGACTTGCTGCATATGCACTCATGTCAAGTCCTGTGTGAGGAAAATCTACGGTGCCACTCAGTTTACCCCTAAAACGTTCTGTGGGAGAAAACCGTTTCAAATCTAAACAAATGTTAAGGATATACCCAGGATCTTAATAATTAGACATTTCTGTACATTCTTTCTTAAAAACTATTTCAATTTATATAAATGTCAGTAAATGTAACTGTCAATTATACATTTAAAAGTACAATTTCTCTTATGAAACTAACAGACAAAGTTCCACTATTACCAACATTATTGCTACTGTTCCATTCATTAAAACTTGAATTTCATTGGACATGATTATGGTCAATAAAATCTTTTTTATTACTTGAACAGTAAATCTCTGTTAGGAATAAATAGAACTTCAGTCTCATAGGTTGGCAGTATCTGCTACTTCCGTGGCTTTGCATTCTTTGGCAAGCATGCCAGTTGCATGAATTGTGTGTTCAGTGTGTGCCATCCCGAATCAGAAGTGTAAAGCAGTGTTATGTTCCTGTAAAGCAGTGAATAGTGAAGTTATCTGTTATGGAATGATGTGTGTGTCTCTAGCAGCACTCCAGATCCACCGACAAAAATCTTAACCATCTCTTTTATAGGATTTGTATTATAGTGAATATTCTGAAGCAAAACAATATTATATTTAAGATCAAACAACTATAATGTTTGCTAGGAGAAGTGGTCTTAAGCATATAATTATTAAATAATCCATTTATTAAACTATTCATGTAAAATCAAACTAATATTCTATTAATCAAACTATTAATAACACACTCTCAAATGTTATCATAAAAAATGGAACCACAAAGTGTTAAAAGGATACGAAGAACAAGGATTTTCGGAAACTTCTGTATAGTAAAGTTCTTTGTACATTTGCGCCGTGTCTGGCATTTAGCACATGTCTGAAACAACAAGAAATCATAAGAAACAAACATTCAAATTCAGAATAAAAATTAAGAAAGACAAGCAATAGAAAAAAGAAAACTTAATACTTCAATAACGAGGTGAAAAAATGTAAAGACTGAAAAATCTCTGGACACTTCTTTGTCACTCTTCTATATATTTCACGAGTACCTCATAAATAATTCTTGTGTGTTTCAAAAATAAATATTTTTTGCACTTATATTTTAAGGCGAAAGCAACCTTTTCAAGTAGTTGTAAAATTCACTGTTTAGATGTCTTGGAAGAAATATAAGACTTCATAGAGGTAGGCTTCACTTATACATTTTATGATCCTTTTCAGTCAGAACCAATACAATGAATACTACAAATCAGAGTTCACAGTTTGTTTGGATTACCAAGAGAGCACATATGAAAAATTCTGAGATAATTGTCCACCCTGTTCAATTTTTTTTTATCAATGCAAGAAAATAAATGATGTCTAAAAGATGATGCATGTTTCGTAGAAGCTCATTTTTCACTCATTACATAAAGCAAAATTCTTTGTCATTGAAATCCCAAATATATTTTTTATTAAATTACTTTTCAGGAAATGAAGAGAACAGAGCACAAAAATCTTGAACACTTATTACAAATTTAATTAAATTCAAAACAGTTATCTTCATTTTCCAAATAAATAATAAAATCATATCCAAATAAAAAATGTATATAATTACATTTTATTTCATAAAAATGTTGTTATTAACTTTGTGTGTCTTATTTTAGCAATACTTTTAAATTCATTGGACTGAAAAATTGAGTTTCATAAATGGTCATAAATATCTTTATCATACTTTCATCCTAAAGTATTTTGCAGTTCTCTTACAGATTTCAACAAAGTCTATGGCAGCCAGTTGCAGATACTCAACCGATTCATAATAGTGAACTTCCAAATTTCCTTCAAACACAATCTTTCAATCAGGCTTAAAAGGATTGAAAATGTTGGGTTCTCTTTGCATATACTGTATTTTACATACAATTTACTAACCTAACAAAATAAAATTTCAAAAAGAAAAATAAACTCACTGGTTTCTCATCACCATCTAGTACTTCTTCCCGAGTGAAGCTATCTAGGCACTGTTGTAGCCGCACCTGACCAGTTCGAGTTGGTATGGGAAGAGACAAATCCCAAAAAGGGTCGAACGTCACTGAACAGTGACCACACACAGTGCAGCGAAGAGTTGACTTGAGCTGACCAACAAATATATCAACTACCTTGCTGTCATCCATTCGCAAATATCTTTTCCACGCCTCGGCTGACTTCTGCTGGTCACTGCACAAAAAAAAAAAGTTCTTTGCTTACCAATGAAGTTAACTAAATATAAGAAGTTCATCACAAAATCACATGCCAATTACAATCAGGGTTGAAGTATTAAGAACTTGCAAAAACATTGAATGTCAAAAAATCAATTTTTATTATAGATTTTTTTTCTGAAATTGTATTGTTAGGAGAAGAGAGGAAAAATGTAGGTACAAATGGTCCTAATCAGAAATTAAAAAGACTTCAATTTAACACTTGATGTACAGAATGAGAACAGTAGAAGCGTTGAAGTTATGATCTCCTACAAAAACAAAAAGATGGCTGACAGTTTGGTCACATGCTAAGCCATTGCTATAACCAAAGTAAAAGCAAATCAGAAGCTTTGGCATTTACAGTGTTGTCACCTCAAACTACAGAACAAATAAATTCCATACTCTGAATGTTGTAATGAATCAGCTGAGTCTACACAAGTGTTTGAAGTGAAGTTAATTGTGAAAAACAGTGATGTATGAGTGAGAATTTTCAAGCTTGGTAGAGTGCAATGTATCCAGTAATAATGTCTCTCTCCAAACCCAACAATCTTCTAATTTAATTATGCAGATGGTTTGCATTATAAATACATTTCTATATGACAGTTTGAAAACAATGTTTCTGGTATTAAACAATGAATACATGTATAGTTATCTTCAGAAGAACCTTGCTAATCTGAAATTTCGGGGAATCCAAACAAAACTCAGGATGGAGAGAAAAGAAATAAAATGCTTATTTGTAGTGTAAACAAAGGATTGTATAATTACTGTAGAACTGAAAGACTAATTGATTGAAACACCTGTTGAAATGAAACGTTCATGGTACTAGTTACTTTGGTGTATATCGCATGTTTATGTAGCAGTAATTTTCACTTAGAAGAACTTGCAGAATCAGTAATAATCTTTAGTAGTAAGGAACTGAATCTGCTTGATGTAGCGATGTGATGTGATGTGATGTGATGATGAAATCGCTGGGCTACGGTGCTTTGTCTGGTAATCTTATAGATGTATTTGTATATACATGGTACATTTTTCGGATAATACGAACATTTCTGTATAAGAACAGACCACATCCCCAATTAGTTCGGATTACCAGGGTTCTACTGTCTTTTAATAATTAAGATAATCCAATACATATAATAAGCACAATTATTTAACATGAAAACATTTTGATATTTTTTCATGAAAAGACTTATTTATTTAAAGTATTTAACTAGTGATAAGTTATTTCCCTTAAAATGTAGTTTCCAGGTACCAGTATGTACGGAAATAATAAAATACCAACTATGCATTTTTGATACAACAGAAAAATAATTAAATGTAGGTAATTGAACACATTAACCTGAGTTTAGAAAAGAGGTGAAAATACTTCTAACATCAAATTTATCATTGTCATTAACTATGCTGAATGTCTGCTTTGATTTTGTTTTTATCCAAAGACATAATTTAATTCTTATTAATTTAATTAAAATTAACTTAACTAATAAAATTTTTAAAAAATGTAAACTCTGAAAATGCACATGCTGTGATTTTACTCAGTGAATTCAACTTTTATTGTCAGATTTATACAGTTCATGAAGAAAATCAAAGAAAAAAAGCAGTTTGTGGGTACAGACATATCTCCTTGAAGAGAGAAAGAACTAAGCACTTTTTATTTTTGTTTGGGTATTGATATTTTTCTCTTTCTCATACTAAATAAATAACATTCTGCTATTTACAATGAAACCCAGCCACACTCTCTCTTTTCATTGTTTGATTATCCCTGTTCAATATAAAACAGCTTAGGGAAATACTACAGTCCAACCTTGAAATGTGGCTTAAATCAACACAAAATTGCAGACAAAAGAATGTAACACTTTTTAAGCAGAAGGCCCTGTATTATTTTGAAGACTGTAGCAAAATGATACAAAATTGAATTTTAACGAACATATTTTGACATTACTTTCCTTAAAAAACAAACTGAAGTTACTATTGAGATAGTACATGATAGAGCAACATATAGTATTATAAATAGTATAACAAGTAATATTATAAACCCAGAAGAATAAGGTTATTGAATGACAACTCAAATACTTTCATACAACATTTGTGGGCAATTTTGATGTTCAGTGAAAAGAGAGTGACATATACACTGCACAAAAAAATTCCAATTACGACTTGGAAAGCAATCACACAATTCTCACTATGCATACACATCAATGTCATAAAATACATTACTAAAACTAACAAACTAATCTAGTTCCTTCACAAAAATCAAGCTGTTACCTTAGAGAATCATCTATTTCCGTGAGGATAGGTTTAGGCTTGCTGGTAACACGATTAACATCTTCATGCAAGCCTTCGAGCAAGTAACGCAAGAACTCTTGGGCATCTTGCTGACTGTAACCCATAAAGCGAGGAGCAAACCTCTGGATCTGGGACTTCAGCGATGTTGTATTCACAACCATACCATCATTTTCACGCCACAATTCTTGGATAACACTTGAAAATGCTGTGTGAAGAAAATTTCACACATCTCAAATTCATGGCAAATTTCTTTAAACAAATCACTTTATTTCTTGGAGAATCTATAAAATCGTAGCTTCACTTCCGCATTAAATTAAATGACCACATATAGCTCAGGCCAAAGATACATTACTTCAAAGCATTACAATATAACATTATGTGAATTCAACTAACCTTTAATAAGTGCACCTTTCATACTGGAGACTGTTGTATTGATATCCGATAAGTAAGCATCTCCAAGTAAATACTCCAAAAGGGGTTTTGTATTACTTAGGCACTGGATTACTGAATTCATGAAACACTGCAACATGAAATACACATAATTAACATAAATATTTATTCTAAGAGGAAGAGGAATACAAAAAGAAACCACCACCCACCAACAGTAAAAAAAGTACCCACCAATGTTAAAATATCATCTAAACATTGAGATATAAATACTGACTTTTCTACCAGATTAAGATGAAACAATATCCTTTAACTGATGAATAACAGGCATGGCTAAAGAATTCCAAGTAGGTTTTTTATAGGAACATCTTTGGTTATTTTTGCTTTTGTAAAGGTTATTCTATTTGTTTTGAACTAATATACATAAAGACAATTCAAAGATATATTATTTACCTAAGTATGTAAATCTTTTTCAATTTTTTTATATGTTCTGACAGTTTTAGTACATTTTTATATCATAGGAATTTTATACAATATTTTCAGCCAATTTTTTCCTTCATAACTAGGGAGCGAGGATTTCTATGATTTGGCATATTTTTGTCTGTTGCTTCATGGCATATCTAAGAGGAATTTCCTGACATCGGGTTACAATCGGATGCTATGAAAATTAATGTTAGTGGATATTTATGTATACTTGGCCAATATTCCTGTTGGTGCATATTTGTGTAATTATAGGCATTTGTATAATTATGTGTGTTTGTGTAATGGTATTTTGCAAATTTGTTTAAAATAGACACTTATCCCTAACAATTTAATATTTTCATAGAATATATTTATTTGTGAGCATGCATAGATTAGAAAGAGCTTGTCAAAATTTGTGTTTTTTCCTTATTTTTTATAAATGATAAAAAATGTAGGATGTTTCTTGATGTATTTTTTAAACCAGGCAGAAAAATTTGAAAGAAAATATACAATGTACTTAACTAAGGTTTAACTGAATTATTTCTCTTGAGAAGTAAGCAATGTTATGTTCCACAAAAATATCTCTTTTCATTCAAAGCATGCTTCTTCTGAATTTTACCAACAAAGGTTTATTCAGGAAATAAAATATTGTTAGTTTTAATTCCATGTTAAAGTACATATTTCAAAATTTTTAGGTCATAAATGCATATTTTAAAAAGTTGATTTCAAGATTTTTAGGGCATAAAAATTCTCTCCCTATTCATAACAGTTTGTTAATTACATTTAACATTAACAGTAATAATTGTACATTTAAGAACAGAAAAATGTATACATGAATTAATAAATATATTGGATAGCTTTCATATTGGAAAGAAAATGTACTTACAGTGTTGCCAATATTTCTGAGCCCTGATAAACCACCACGTTCACTCCCTGTGCATCGTGAGCCTGCTCTTGCAAGATGAGGTGAAGAACTCAAAATACTGCTGTCCTAAAAAACACCAACAAAAACAAATATATTAAAACAACAGTCTTCTGTCACAAAATAAAATTAATTGTATTAAAATTCTTAATATTATAAATTTTTTGAAATGAATAGATGAAGATATGATTATAGAAATGAATAGAAAAAGAAACAGGTAAAAAAATTGTCAGATTCAGTATCATTAAAAAATTATATTGTTTCCAAAAACATCCCAGTGGCATTAACCAGCACAATTGTGTAATAATCATTTCTGTACTTAATATTGATAAACTAAAAAATTTGGAATAATGTGCTGCATTCATCATGCAGTAAAACATTAAACTGAAATGCAGTCGCACATCATACATTAAAACCAAACCTATTAAGATAGCAAAGCTTAACATATAATATGTTGCAACAATAAAAGGAACAAACTGAAAAAGAAAATCAAACATTATATCTGAAACAGAATAGAATGCATCATTAATAAATACAAGAGTAAATGCATAGTACGGATTTCGAAATCTTTAATAAGAAAGCTATAAATACTATTTATTAGTTTTTTTTTATAATTAAATAATCTCCTTTTTACAAATATTTTGAATAAAATTGCATTTTTATTTTGAATATGAAATATTTTATTGCAAAATTAAAATGTCACCATACATTCACTGTAACATGTTCAACAAGAAAGAATTTCAGTGTAATGACTGGTTTCCTAGAATTAAGAACTTTAAAACTATTCTCCAAAAACTAGGTCAACTAAAACATTGTAAGGGTGGGGTAACATTTTTTTTAATGCAAGTCCCTGGTAATTCCCTGTCTTTAACAATGAAATTTTAAGATATCTGTTGACCACCCTTTTAACAATTAGCACAAGTAACAGACAATTTAGGATATAAAAATCAGATACTTAAATAAAGACTTTTAAGGTACAATAATTATTAATCAATTTTACATTTAACCATTCAAATAAAACAAAAATAAAAAAATAATAGTGAAGTTCATTTTATATTCATTTTGTTATTATGCAGCAAAAATCCAAAGAACATCCAAATTTTTCTCAAGGTTGTAGCAATTAATATTACACAATTACTGCTTTGTTGATATAGCAGAAGCATTGGATCTTCAACAAATTATAACATGTAAGTTACTTACTAGACTTCATTATCTCTCATGTTTATTTTGCTTTGACATGTAATAAAAATAAATATTTTTCATATTAATATAAGTGTTTAATAACAGAATGAATTCATTATCATGATTACTCTGCACTTATAATTCTAAAAAAAACGGTATATAAAATTTAAAATACATTTTTTTACACATAGGAATGAGTAAATGCTTATTGCACATATCAAGCAAATCAAAAAGCTTAAAAAGACAGTACCTATACAAAATTTAATTTTATATTACACAATTTCTCAAAGACTCAATTCTGCAGTTAATCGTCAATATTTTATGCAATTTTGCTCTTTAGTCATTCCCATTCTGGGTGCAAATTTTCTTTCATATGAATTGAGTAGTAGGTTTGTACTTACATGACCATCAGCTATACTTTAAAAATTCTGTGTAATAAAGTAAATTATGAAGAAATTATCTTACAACTATTTTAATTGATGTACATACAATTTTTTCATGTAATTTTTGTGTGTTAGAACCATGAGTCAAGGTTAATTGTGTTAAATTGAAAACGTGTACTGTCTAAAGACAGCTGAAGTAACAAATACTGTATTAGAAATGGTTTTATAAAGAAAATTATGTCTTATGTTATGAAATGAAGTGCTGTTGTCAAAGGCTTGTGCTTCGCCAAAAAGCAAATAAAAAAATTAAATTAAAAACAACAACTTTAAAGCAAATTTTACACACAGTAAATATACTTAAACAAAAAAACTACTTTTAAAATACACAACAATACTTCAGCTTCACATCAGCTGCAAAAAAAATAAAAAATAACACAGCACAAGGTATTTAATTGTGCAAATGCTGGTTAATGCCACAAAGAAGCTTAGTTACAAAATTCCCTCATTTAAAGAGAAAATTTCTTCCATAAAAATTGCTTTATGTAGAGAACTAGAGTAGTACAGTAGCACATATAGACATGTGCCATAAATATTTTTTTTTAAAAAAAATTTTTAAATTATGAAATAGGACCCCAAAAAAATACAAATAAGTAATGTTATATCAATCCTCTGACTCGTTAATAATGAAATTAATTGAATACAGCCCTCAATGAAAGATGACAATTGATCAAGTACTTTTTACCTTGAAAAATGTTCAAAAATATTTTAACAGCAACAGCACATGTCTTTTTGGTGCAGTAAAGCAATACTATTAAACACTAGCTTTTCAGAAAACTATACCCAATTGTCAAACGATCATGAGGGGCTAAGGGAAAGAAGCAAAGCAAACAATTTAATACGCAAACAACACACTATGTGCACAGCGAGTTATGGCATTACTTCAATGAAATTTAATATATCCAAATTATAACATTAAATTTAAGATCACCACGCAAAATGAAGGGCAGTGATTTTTTTTTAAAGTAAACAGTAAAGGGGCAGAATCATTACTGGGGCAACCCCGCCCTCGTGGGAACCGCTGATTGACGTCGTGCGTGTGAATAAAAACAAGGGATGTCTTACGAGAGAATAGAGTGTGCAAAAGTTTGTCGCAAGAGTCCACAACTTCAGCATGCTGTCCAAACACACTTCGAATTGTCCAACCAGAGACAGAGCAAAATAAACCAAGGGGCACTTGGTGAAACGCCGCTCCGTCGAAGGATTTCGGCGGAGTGCTCGCAGCGCGTGCCGCAAGCCTTCGTAGCACGGCGATCGAAGCATTCTAATGTCATGTGGTTTCACTATGATATATTTCCTATCGATCGACATGTCTGACGAAGATGTGATAAGGGATCGATTTACACATCGAATAATAAGTTTTATCGACCTCGAAAAAATCTCCAATGCGGGAAAGTGACGCAAGAAATGATGCACTTTAATCTCATAAGGTGGGCAAATCTAATTGCATGTTTGTTTAACAAATCTCATTTCATCATTCAGTTTTTGACGAATCTGGGAGACTCAGAAATACAATAGCGGAAACAGTAAACAGCACTTTACGACTTAAATGCAATTTTCTAAGTGAAATCGTTTCAGGAAATACAACAAATGAAGATTTCCATTTTTATAGTAGTATTAAGCGATTGCAAATCTGTCATAAAACTGCAGTTCCCCCCAAAATTGAACAATTATCTAATAATTTAACGATAGTTCTCATAATATAACCTTAATCAATTTAACATGAACCTTTCCCAAAGACTCAACGACGGCCTGCCCTCGCTATGAATCGATTGCAAGATTTGCTTTGCGTACACGACAACGTCCTTGTACACATTGGCCAAAGGTGACAAAACCACGTGCCACCACCGCACAGGAGACGCACACGGCGGCCAAGAACGCCGGCGGACGGAAAGGACGAGACGTCAAGTTGGCAGGGGCCCCGCGAGCGGACTCGCCTTCTCCCGCGCTGCCCTCTCCGTTGACTACCTGGGCGGTGAGCTTGATGGTGACGGTGGTCCGGGCCGCGGCCGCGGCGACAGCGGCTACGGCTCCGTACCGACACGTGGAGTGGTGGTGGTGGTGGGGGGGCTGCGAGGCGGAGGGGCCCGAAGCGGCGCCGCCCGTCCAGGGCTGCAGGGCGCCCAGCAACAGCGAGTAGAGCGACGCTGCCAGCAGCAGGCCCCATATCGCCGCGCCCACCCCGCCCAACAGAGTCCACGCGAGCGACGGCAGCGCGACAATTGCGGGGCGCGC